CCATCCATCAGTTCATCCATCCAGTCATCCATCCTTCCATCCATCAGTTTATCCATCCAGTCATCCATGCATGCATCCATCTATCCATGCATCCATCCATTCATGCATACATCCATCCATACATACACACACACATACACGTACACACATTCACACACACACACACACGTACACACATACACACATATACACACATACACACATATACATACATACATACATACACACACACGCATACACACATACACATACACGCACGCACGCACAAACACATACATACATACATACATACACACATACAATTTTCCGGTTAAAATGGACGCTAGACAGCGGTGCTGTTCGGAGCGGAGGCAAATTTTTTTGCTTCTGCCGGACGGTGGCCGAAGTATTTTTGCTCCATTTGTAGACTGGATATAATTTCGTCGCCCAGCTTCTGAGTTGAATGCATGGCGTGACCCTGTGAGCTGCGGATTGCATTTGGAATGTTTTTTCGACTGTGATCAACGTGGTGTGAATTGTAGATTCAGAAAATGGCGAGATGCCGGTCGTGCAATGCTGGCGGGACCCGTATTAAAATTGATCGCCCGGGCAACTGCTGATCTGTTGGCGACAAGTTCTGCTATCATCAATGATGAACTACATTTCTAATGTTGGACTGTTTGTGTTAGCACTTCGGATGGCTACCATATGCGTTAATGCGAGTGTATGCTAGATATGCTGAGACAGCAGTCTGTCAATCTTTCCACAAGGGACTGTGATAAACATTCTGGGTGTTTTTCGCTGGCACAGGATTGGAGCAAAGATGGGGCGACCCGTTTGCTATGAAGCTGAAACTAAGACTACCAGACTACCAGACCAGACACATACAAACACATACATACACACCCATACGCAAGCACGCATGCACATACACAGACAGACAGACAGACAGACAGACAGACAGACAGACAGACAGACAGACAGACAGACAGACAGACAGACAGACAGACAGACAGACAGACAGACAGACAGACAGACAGACAGACAGACAGACAGACAGACAGACAGATATTCAGACAGACAGATATTCAGACAGACAGATAGACAAGCCTCACCCTCACACTGACCGACTGCAGCACAGGATGTAGTATATGATGCTGCCTCAGGGAACTCTCCGTCAGTCTATCAGTAGCCATAGTAAGTCCAACGTTCTCAATCTGACTTGAAGACAAGTTATAAGCATGTAGTAGTAGTAATTTTTCAAAAATATCCTGTTCAACCCTCAGGATTATAACTGAGATGTACAGTGTTCATCAAGTTCTTAGAGTATATTTTTGTTTGTTTATATTTATATATCGTGTAAGTAATTATGTATATGAGATAGATATGTAGTTTGATTTGTTTCACATATTACTTAAAACAAACATATTATAGTATGTACAGGAAGAGTTAGAAGTGCGGCTACATTCTCCTTCTTCTATCCTTTATTTCCCAAGGGAGCATAGGCCATCACCCAACAACCGCCAGATCGTCTAATCCCTCGCTATTCTATGCGGCTTAGTAAGTGTGTGTGTGTGTGTGTGTGTGTGTGTGTGCTTGCGCGCACGCGCTCGCGCATGTGTGTCATTCAACCCTGTCAGGACCGTTTAACGAGCGACCCGGAGACACAAACTGCCACCATTGGGATGAGGATAACCCTGGCAGGTCCCAGAAACTCCGTTCAACCTTCAGGTAATATCAAGACCCCTGATTACAGTGAGGGTGGGGATTTTAAATAACGAAATATTGTGTCCCATCCCACACTGGGACAGCGTATGATAACTAGACGGCATATGATAACTTACCCAGTATGCTCGCTATCTTTTCCTATTTCTTCTTCTTCTCGTTCACCAGCTGTGAATACTGGCGGAATGTTCTGGTTTTTCGTCCACTTCTGGACAGCAGTACTGTTCCAGGACCTGAGTGTTGCGTGTGTACCCGTTTTACAGATCTGTCTCATGTGTATGCAGAGTGTTGATTCCTTACCTCTCAGGCTCGTGTACTCCGACTTCAAAGGAAGCTGCCAATTAATCGACTCCTACGACATGCTTTTGGGTAGGCAGTGGTCTACCCCCCCCCCGCCCCCCTTTTAATAGAGCCCAGGAACCAACACGGAGACGTTAAATTTTTAACGTCACTCTAGTTTCCTTTTCTGCGCGTATTAAAAATAATTGTCTGCCAACAACATGGCACGTTCTTATAACTCAAGTCTAAGTGCGAAGAAGCTTAGCACAGTGCACAGGCTCTGTAGCACCGGCGAGGATCCTAAAATACTTTGGGTATATTTTAACTCCAAATTTTTCCCGCGCAGCACCGTTAAGCTACTCTTTCGATTTCCAACTGCCAAGGGATTTTTCTAGCGCGCAGCAATACACACGGGGTCCGATCTCACTAGACCAGGGGGAAATTACTAGAAGTCCAAGTCCACGTGAAAAAATCCCAGCCTTTACCGGGAATTGAACCTCTAGCACTTGAGGCGAACACCATACCTCGAGACCACGCAACCCCATAAGCCTCTATGATTTCCACTGAAAGACGTTTAAAATTTTATACTTATAGATAATATATCTTATTTTCAGGTTTTCTCAGCGCATCTTGTCCAACGGTAGCGTCTTTCATTCACCTCTGAAGTCACTGAAATGTGTCTAGCTCTCTCCCAAAGCCCACTATTGGTGATTCGTTCATACCATTTAATTCCCTCTATACTGCTACGTTTTTCTTTAACAAAAAGCAGTGCGTTACTTTACATAATAGAAGGAAATAGTGGAAAACACACACACACACACACACACACACACACACACACACACACACACACACATATATATATATATATATATATATATATATATATATATATATAAATAAATTATTTGTCCATTTTAGGTACGATTCGCCGATTCGCGTACGTGAGTTTATTGTAAGTTAAAGGATTGCTTTCCATGTGGATATAATCTGTCGCAAATATAAATTTGTATCGGTACGTGATTAGGTGTGCATGTAGCCACAGTATTTATGCCTTGAAAGGCTAATTCGGCGAGGAGCAGGCAGAGGGTCAGAAAAATTATGTAGCAAGCATGTCTGTAGCACTTGTTCGATATTCCGCGGTGAATGTCCACAAGGGGCCAAGTTAAGTTAGTTGTGTATCCTTTTACAGGTCGTTGCAGAACCAACCCCAGCATGTTATTGACTGTTGTGATTTTTCTTGGCAAAGTTTACATTAGGGCAAAGTAGTGAGTCTCTAATCTTGAGTTTCTTGTACATATGGCTGTATACTGTTGTGACATTACACAGTCTGAATGTAATGGTCTGTTTCTTCTTGTGTGTGAGGTTGTGAACTAGCTGGGAGTACTACGAGATACGTCTGGCCAATATAGAAACGTGGCCCCGATAGAAAAGGAAAAACAGTGTCGCCGTGGCGTAGCGGCTAGATGCTCGCTTGTGGATCGGAAGGTCGTGGGTTTTCTCCCTGGCGTAGCTGGACTTTTTTCAAAAATGACCTTGACTCCCAGGTCGACCCAGCCTTGAATGGGTACCGGGTGCAGTCCCGGGAAGTAAAGGCGGCCGGCGTGGGGCTGACCACGTCGCCAATCTAGTGCCGATTGATCTATAAAAATATAGGTCTAGCCCTAGATGCCCTTTACGCCTAAAGGCGGGGGAAAGGGACCTTCGCTTTTTTTTTTTTTTTTTTTTTTTTTACTTTTTTAGTAGAGGACACAGTGACAAAATATTCATGAGAATGATACGAAGGAAGGATGACCCAAGAGGACAAAATCAGGAGGATAAGGACAAAAGGAACACACCGGGAAAAAGACAGGAAGAAACGGTATATAGGTTAGGGACTGAAAGAAAGAAAGCTTGCGCACATACAACTATTTTAGCTGCTCAAGTGTCGCAAATAAACCAGACCACTAATATAACTGCCGACTATTAGCAACTTCCCTGAAGCTTCGGTTGAACGTGGTCGAGTTTTTGACCCCCCCCCCCCCCTCCCCAGAATGGATTCTAGATGTGTGTGGAGTTTGGCTAGGTCTTGAGCACTGTGTCCTGTGTGGAAAGGGTTCTAATATTAACGTATGATTATAATTATTTTAAAATAAGAATACAAAAAGCAAGAGAAGCTTTCATAGCACTAGGGTATATGTGGAGGTAAAAAAATTTTTTTTTAAAAATACCAAACTAAATTTTTTTTTAATTTCTAATGTCAAATCAGTACTTTTGCATGGAGCGGTAATATGGAGAATAACTAAGGCAATTACTAATAAATTACAGACATTCATTAACTGGTGCCTGCGCATAATAGAGGGATTTAAATGGTATAATATAATACTAATGCAGAGCTTTGGGAGAGAACTAAACAGGCTCCAATAGACTAAGAGGTGATGAAAAGACGCGGGCGTTAGATAGGATACACTGAGAAAAGAGAAGAACAGCATAACTAGAATGTCTTTGCATTGGAACCCACAGGGGCATAAAAATTAAGGAAGGCCAAAAACACACGGAGAAGAGAGCTGGAGAAGGAAGTTATAAAGATGGGGGAGGACATGGGGAGAGCTTCATGCAATGGCGAAGGATAGAACGACTTGGCGTGAGTTGGTTGAGGGCCTACGCTCCATTGGGGGATAGAAAGGCAGAAAAATAATATTTATTTGCCATTCAGCACACAATAATAACTCTTCAATCAGATGCTAACAATACTGACAACTCATTATGTAGCATGTCCTTCGCAGAACCTCGCTCTCACCACGGTCTGCCTGAAAGAAACGTGGTCTCTCGCCAGCTCCGCAGCCTCATATACTATCATACCCAAGGAGACATATCCTGTGCCCACTTTCGTACAGCTATTATTTTCTCCAATCCGCCATGGCTCTTGATGTGACCAAACTACTTCAGCTTCCGAGAAAAGATGCTGTTTATTAGCCAGTCTTCCTGGATGTTCAGATTTTTAAATTGTCGGTGTTTCTTCTCTTTTCTGTCCATGATATTCTGAGAATCTTTCTGTAGCATTTCATCTCAAAAGCTCCTGTTTTCTTTCTTAAAGAGTCGGGACAGCTAAAGTGATAATAACATAATAACAACTATCTTCAATAAGATGTTAAAATTATTGACAGTTAAAGAGATAAATAACATATTAAAATGAGAATCGTTAAATGTTTTATATACTCAACCCTACTGTATGGTGCAGAAACTTGGACAATAAACAGGCAACTAGAAAATCGATCTGAGTCTCTGGAAATGTGGGTCACGGAAGAATAAGTTTATAATTCATGGAAACAGAGATAGTTAATTACAGAGGTTCTTTAAAGACTGCTAATTAAAAGAAAGATGCTGAAAGAGATGTAAAGGCAACTGAAATATTTCGGCCACATTAAAAGACATAAAACTCTTTAAAACAATACTAGGAGAAACGTTGAAAGCAAGAGAACAAGAGGTAGACAACGATACAACTGGGAGGTTAACATCAATAAATGGACGAACTGCAGTGTACAACCAAGACAAAAGACAGAGTGTGTTATTCGATGGCGCGTTTTTATTTGTTGACGCCAAATTCCCTACGTTTGAAAACTATCAACAACCCATACGTGAAAGAAATGTCAAATAATTGGTTGAACCCTCAGGTATTTTTGCGTGCAGTTAGAAAAATTTCATTGATTTAAAATAATGTCTTAAATGTCAAAATTATGTTCCTTTAAGTAGCTATGCATATTTTATTTCTCTTGAATAGGATAATACTAATTTTTTTGCCCACTAGAAAAAAAAATCATACCCTAATTTAACCTACGTTAAATTATTTTACTGTATCTCACCTTTTCTTGCTCTGCCTTACTGTACTAGATATCCTAAAACTACAATGCACTTACCTACACGCAAAAAATCAAATTTGGCTTGAAACAACGTTTGCTTTCTGAAGCCCCTTACAATAACAATAGTTGTCAGTGGCATTTGCACAACTGTTTATACACAACGGCACGTCTCTGGGTCGTTGGAAACATGGACACCCGCTGACAAAACCTGGCCAACAACGGAGCGTTTGCAACGTATAACAGAGACTACAGCCAGGGGCGGCATTGCGAAGAAAACAATGGGGTAAAAAAAAAGGGGGGGGGGTGGCTACGGGCGCCAAAATCTTGTGACTCATGTCCCTTGAGCCAAGAAA